TATCGATTTCGGCCCCGGTATCGATATCGCGATATCATTATCGGCCCCGGTATCGATATCGCGATATCATTATCGGCCCCGGTATCGATATCGCGATATCATTATCGGCCCCGGTGGCTGGGGGGGGCTGGACTGAAGGACAGCACAGAGGCACTCATCCTGGCTGCTCAGGAGCAGGCCCTGAGCTTCAGAGCCATTGAGGCCCAGATATACCACACCAGACAAGACCCAAGGTGTAGGTTGTGCAAAGGGGCACCTGAGACGATCCAACACATAACTGCAGGGTATAAGATGCTGGCAGGGGAAGCCTGCATGGAACGCCATAACCAGGTGGCTGGGATAGTCTACCGAGACATCTGTGCAGAGTATTGACTGGAAACCCCAAGGTCAAAATCGGAAACACCTCCGAAGGTGGTGGTGGGATCCAGACTGACAAGATGGTAAAGGCAAACCAACCGGATATCGTGATCATAGATAAAGGGCAGAGGAAAGCCGTTGTAGTGGATGTAGCGGTCCCAAGTGATGGAAACATCAGAAAGAAGGAACACGAGAAACTCGAGAAATACCAAGGGCTCAGAGAGGAGCTGGAGAGAGCCTGGAAGGTAAAGGTGACAGTCGTGCCTGTGGTGGTCGGAGCACTCGGGGCAGTGACCCTCAAACTAGATAAGTGGTTGCAACAGATCCCGGGAACAACATCGGACATCTCAGTCCAGAAATGTGCAGTGCTGGGAACAGCAAGGATACTGCGCAGAACCCTCAAGCTTCCTGGCCTCTGGTAGAGGACCCGAGCTGAATGAGGGATGGACACCACCCGAGGGGTGAGACGAGGATTTTTTTTTTTATATATATATGTGTATGTCAAAACATTTTCCATTCAAATGAAGAGAACAATTTAATCTATCCATTCATGCATCCATTATCCGAACAGCTTTGTTTGTTTGTTTGTTTTTAAACCCGTTTAAAATATTTATCATAATTTTCTTCTTGGTTTAGTGACAATTTATAATCACAGGTCCGTCCATCTATCCATTTTCTAATCCGTTTATCCTCACAAGGGTCGCAGCCGTGCTGGAAGCTGCGTGGCCAAGACACAACCCATGCAGACACGGGGAGCCGAAATCAAACTCTGCACCTCTGCAGTATGAGGCGGACGCGCTAACCAGTCCCACACTGTGCCGGCCGAATCATTGAGGTCAATAATGAATTGTAATAGCTCGAATTATCCACTAGATGTAAGCGTTCAGCTACTACAGTATTTGAGGCTGCAACACGGTGCAGAAAGACGCAACCAAGTAAAATCCCAAGGTTTGGTTCAAATGAGAACGACTCTGAAATGCGTGGATAATTTGTAAATATATTGGCTGACTTCCCCCCCCCCCCTCCGCCCGCCCCCCAAACATATATTTATTATTTTCAGGGTTTTTTTTTCGACAAATTATTGATGAATGTGTATTATTTTTTATTATTACTTTATTGGCTTGTATTTTCTTATTTTTCTTCGTGAAATTAATAATTTTGATAATCAATATATTTTTATGTATTTGGATTTGTTACAGCTTGACAGCTCTTGTGTGTGTGTGTGTGTGTGTGTGTGGCCTGGTGGTTGACTGGTTAACGCGTCGGCCTCACAGTGCAGAGGTGCAGGGTTTGGGACAATTTAGAGTGTTCCATTAACCTGTCATGCATGTTTTGTGGATGTGGCAGGAAACCGGAGTACCTGGAGAAAACCTAACCAGGTACGGTAACATGCATACTCCACACAGGAAGGCCGGAGCTGTAATCGAACCGTGCACCTCTGCACTGTGAGGCAGATGTGCTAACCAGTGCAGTCGACCTATTATTATTATTATTATTATTATTATTATTAAAAAAAAACACCCATCTGCACTCACAATCACACCTAGGGACAATTTGGAGTGTTCAATCAGCCTGCCATGCATGTTTTTGGAATGCAAAGTCCACACAGGAAGGCCGGAGCCGTGATTGAACCCACGACCTCTGCACTGTGAGGTCGACGCGCTAACCATTGGACCACCGGAACGCAATTATTATTATTATTATTATTATTATTATTATTATTATTATTATTATTATTATTATTATTTCTGTTATGTTATTTTATTTTTGGGTGAGGGGGTAATATTAGTAGTAGTTGTAGTTGTTATAGGCTGTAGTCGCAGAAGCAATCTGAAAACATGATGTCTGTGGGAAAATAAACAAGGCCAGATTTAGAATTAGCACACATTTTTAAAAATCAGCTACAAAAGTTACTTGGCATCTCTGATTTTTAAAAAAAGTAAAAATTTGTTGACCTCTATTATTTATCCTAATTATAGTTGATACATTAAGTATAATTCACTTAAACTGTGTGCTAAGAAATGACAAGAAATGGGCTTGAAATGTTGAAAGCCAGTAAGTGCCTCATTAGAACGGTTGTAAACACCCTCAATCAGGAAGTAATTGCATAATTTAAGCATGTGTTTGTTTGTGGGACAAAGTGGAAAACGATTGCTCATTTTTCCCCAACATACTCAGTTTTCTGGATGTTATCGTTGTTGGTTACACTTTTAGCTTGTATAAATTAGTTCACAGACCACCCCCCCCCCCAAAAAAAAAGAAATACATTTGAAACCAAGACTAAAGAATTGTTGTCAGTGTTCCAACGCTTTTGGGGGCAAACTCAAAATGTAGATTAAAAGGATTTAAATATCTGCAACCGGAAAGTGAACAGATAAGTAAAGTACGTGCTGTTTTCTGGACTATAATGGGCAGGCCAGGCTTGGAGGCAAAGGAAGGGAAGTCCTTGTGAAAAACAAACAATGCCTGGGGAAACATCAGAGGATGTTGCTGTGGGGACTGGCGTTGTCATGGAGACTGCATCAGTAACTGCAAGGGGAGCTGCGGGGCGGGATTTCCTCTTGACCACGTGACCTAACATTCACCTTTAGACTGATATGATCGACAATTCTTATGACATTCAGAAGTCGGTCATTTTAATGTAACAATTTCCATTTTATTTACATTATATAGAGGCAACTCTGAATTTCAATCATTCAAGACGGGCTTTCACATCACGATCGGCACTCTATCTGAATGTATACCTGATTTATCATCTTCACAAGTGATGATCATTACAAACAATACACATTTGGATCTGTACTCTAGCCACTTGACAATAAAACATTTCAAGCTTGACTCATGAAGTTTGATTTTAAAAGTGGACAGCACATACCGGACACAACATTAGGCACACTCGAGTAATAAAAAGCTGAGGCACACATACCGATAATCGGGACGAGGTTCTTATCCTATGGTGTGTTTTTTTTTTTTTTCCTTCCTGATCTGCTGACACCGGTTCCGGTTCAATATTTACAATGGTAAATCCTTGTGTGTGGGCAATGGTTGTGGCCAACTTTTTCTTTGTCATGTGTGGGCTCCCTTATTTAAAACAAAAAATTGTCAAGATTTTTAAAATTACTTAGCTTAATGCGATCCAATATTGAGATTTTCCATTTGTAAATCTAATAATGAATTTAACAGCAGCCCCCCACCCCCTCAAAAAAAGCCCTAATTGCATGGGACCCAAATCATTTATGTATATTCAATTTCATGTTAATTCCAGCAATAGACATAAAACGCCACGAGATGACAGTATCAGTTTGTAAAATGACTTCCTGTTTGCTCTCCATTATGTCAGGTTGTCAAGGCGGGCAGTTTTGCTTTATTTTAGTTTCATGACATTGTGGTTACGTTGCCTTTATCCTCATTTGACTTGTAAGAATGTTTAAATGTTACTTGAAACACTGCCTGCACAGAGAATCATCTAACCATAAACATTATTTGTACAAAACTATTACAGTGCACCATATTCTGAGAGGGGTGCTTAACTGTTAGAAAAAGCTGTCAGTACGCTGCATGACAATAATAAAGAACACAAATTCGCTGATGCCCCGACAGCAATGAAAAGCAAGCATTTTCTTTGCTTTCTCAGTAGACCATGTGCCACGAGGGATCATCAAGTGCGTCGCAGGAAATTATCCAACTTCACTTAAACGGTCCTAAAAAATGTTGTAATTTACGGCAAATAATGTATTTTTTGTTCATCCATTCATTCCAGTGCCTGTCGAGTCACACGCAGAACAGTTAAATGTTTTTTCCACTAGATGGCAGAAGGTACACAATTAACCTGCTGCTGTCAGGAACACGCATATTTGTGAGATTTATTTTTTGTAATAGTTTTGTTTGGTGGTGTGCCATGAGATTTATCTAATGTAAAATAGGTGCTCTGGATCAATAATATTTGGGAAATATTATCAGTGCGAGTGTGCCTAATAAAATGGCCTATGAATGTACAGATTCGGTACCCAGTCAACAACCCCCCACCCTTCCCCACACACGAGATATGTATAGGCACCATCAGGGAACATGTATATCTTCACATTAAGCAAGCCAATGATCTTATATATTTTCTCATAAAACAAACACTTCAAAATGTAAATTAGGATCAATAATCATAATACTACGGATTAACTTTAAATAGATTGGGGTGTACAGTTTTGGGGTGAAATTAGAGGATGAATCTAAAATAGAGCACAACCTCATTTTGTTTTTTTTAACTTATGTATTGAATTGTTAAGTGTTTCCGCACTTTTTGCATAACTTGCTGTTTTCTAATATGGAACTGAATGGCACAATTTACAATATGTAGGTGTTTGAGCCATGGCCCAATATCCAAAGATGTCCACTTTCGGTGACTTCTCCAGTCTTTTGTTTTGTTGCAATCGGCTGATGACTTGGTTGTCATTCTCATTTGAGTGGCCAGTACTGTTGATCGTGTTTGTCAAAATGTGAACAGCATGATGAAGAGGCCTGTTTAATTTGAATTTAACCAGGAAATGTACAGCATTGGTCAATAATTTGGTTTTTCGGCTTCTTGTTGAAACAACAGCAAGTTGTGCAAAAAGGGCCATTACATCGAAGAGTTGAAGTTTAGAGGTCAAAATAAGTTCACCTGAAAAGTTTCCAGCGCATTTTTGGTTCCTTCTAAAATTTCACCCAAATGCCCAATGTCAGCTAACTTTTTATGAGTAATGTATATCATGTGGAAAATGATAGCTTATCATTGCTTGTTGGATAAATTTTTGAAAAAAGACGGACATTTACTCCCCGCAGACATGACTAAAAAAGCATATTAACACACTTAAAAAAAACAATGTTGCTACTTTTGTCCCAGTGTTCCACTTTAGACGTCGGTAAACATCTTGGTGATATTCACGCAGTTCTGGCTGTTGAAATGAGGCTGCTTGACGCCCTCCTCCACTCCGGCGTAGCCTCCCTTTCCGAGGGTGGCGGAAGAAGCGCACGACCCCCGCGGCTGTAGTAGCTCCGCGCCGGGCAGGTGGTCGCAGCTGGCGTTCAGGGCGCACGGCGGCAGGTCGTCGGCGTCCGTCTCGCGGTGGTAGAAGTAGTTGAAGTTGGACACGATGACCGGCACGGGCAACGCGATGGTCAGAACGCCTGCGATGGCGCACAGCGAACCCACGATCTTCCCCCCGATGGTCACCGGGTGCATGTCGCCGTAGCCCACCGTCGTCATGGTGACCACCGCCCACCAAAAAGCGTCTGGAATGCTGCTGAAGCTCGACGTGGGGTCGTCCGCCTCGGCGAAGTAAACCGCGCTGGAGAAGAGGATGACGCCGATGAAGAGGAAGAAAATGAGCAAGCCCAGTTCTCTCATGCTGGCCTTGAGGGTCTGCCCCAGGATCTGGAGCCCCTTGGAATGTCTCGAGAGCTTGAAAATCCGGAAGACCCTCACCAGGCGGATAACGCGAAGAATGGCGAGTGACATGGCCTGCTGGCCCCCGTTGCTCTCCGTCTCGGCCAGCTCGGTGCCCAGCGTGATGAAATAAGGGATGATTGCCACCACGTCGATGACGTTCATGATGTTCCTGGAGAAGGAAGTCTTGCTGGGGCACGACAAGAAGCGCACGAGGAGCTCGAAGGAGAACCAGATGATGCACAGGGTCTCGATGACGAAAAAGGGGTCCGTGAAGGGGCTCGGTGCGTACGAGGGGACGCCGCCGATCATGCTGGAATTGCGGCTGAGCTGCGCCGATTGGTCGCGCTCCTCGCGGAACTCCGGCAGGGTCTCCATGCAGAAGATGACGATTGAGATGAGGATGACGAGCACGGACACGATGGCGATGCCCCGCGCCGGACCCGAGCTTTCCGGGTACTCAAACAGGAGCCAGATCTGTTTCTGGAAATCATTCTTGGGCAGGACGCGCTCCTCCTCCCGGATGAAGCCTTCGTCCTCTCGGAATTTCTCCATCGCGTCCTCGCCGAGCTGATAGAAGCGAATCTCCTCGGAGAAAATGTCGATGGGCACGTTCACGGGTCTCCGGATGCGCCCGCCGGACTGATAGTAGTAGAGGATTGCGTCGAAGCTGGGTCGGTTGCGATCGAAGAAGTACTCGTTCCGGAGGGGGTCAAAGTAGCGCATCCTCTTGCGGGGGTCGCCGAGCAGCGTCTCCGGGAACTGGTTAAAAGTTTTCAGCTGCGTCTCGAAGCGCAAACCGGAGATGTTGATGACCACGCGCTCGCAGCAGCCCAGCTCGTACCGACCAAAGTGGTGCAGGTTCTGACTTTGGGTCGGCGTAGCCCCCTCCGGCATATTCTCCACCGTCATGTCGTCGTCGTCGTCATGAGTGAACCACTTCAGGTACCCGGAGGGGAACGCGGGTGACTGGATCACGCCCGAGTCCCGGCGGTCCATACAGGTGGCCTAGAAGGAGGGAGGAGGGGCGGAGTGGTGGGAGGAGGGAAGCCTCTCCCCCAGAGACCGAAGAGCAGAGGTCGACCCACGCGCCTAACCACCGTCAGCCATCACCTCGCGCTCGTCCACGCAACCAAGTGACGCGCTTAATATGTTCGCTCCAGCATCCAGGACCCCCCTTCTAGGCTCCACTCCCCGCCCTCAAACACAAAACACCTCGACACCCGCTAAGCGTGAGCACGTCTCTCTCTCTCTCTCTCTCTCTCTCTCTCACTCTCTCTCTCTCTCTCTCTCTCTCTCTCTCTCTCTCTTTTACACACACGTCCACGCGCAGTGAAATTTAATGGCAAGAGCAAGGGCCAAGCAGGCAGCCAAGGCGATAACACGAGACGGAGCAGCACAATGAAATGCATTGCACCATTAAATTATGATGACAAACTTTTGAATTCTTTACATTCCTTTGTATTTTTCAAGCTCCATGTTTTATTCAAGTACAATATTTTATAGGCAAATTTTCATTATTAAAAAAAAACAAAACAAAAATTTGCCTGTGGGTGAGGCGGCGGCTCCCCAGGCATTCGCCTGAAGGGGACATCCCTTTTGAAGAAAAAAGAAAAATCAAAAAATGATGTGGTGGGCCGGATATAGGCCCCCCGGAACTTGAGTTTGAGAAAAGTGTTGTATTGGATGTTATTGAAGTGTTGACGTACCTAATGTTTTGTCCAGTGAGTCCCGTGACAGAAATGAAAATTTATAGTGGCTGTCAGAGGGGCCGAAATGCAGATAGATGTGAGCAACACAATGGCTTCCTGCTTGTAATTATGTTCCCTCGGCTGAGGTGCTGTTGTTGCTCTCCGAGGTGCTGAACAGCAGCCCAACCTCACTCGTCAACGTGTGTCACATGCACACGCACACGTATAAACAAATAAAGGCGTGCTAAGATTAGCCTCTATGCATAAACATCCCCACCCAGCACACACGCCTGAGCTAATCAGCATTTTCCATTTTCCTCTAACAAAATTAGCATGAAGAAGCGTCCCGTGTGTGCTCCTTTATCAACGCGCTGTTGTTTCAAGCTTCATCAAAGGGGGCTGACATTGTTTGCGTTGAGCAACACGTGTGCGAGGGGAAGGCGAGGTGGCTGAAAGTGGGATGGTTATAAAGGAATCCAAATGGGATTCAGATGTGTCTTTTATGCGTGGCTCATTTTCATTTCAAAATGTTAAAACCTGAAGAGAGAAAAAAAGAAAGCAGAAGCTGAGCCTATCCAAATGACAGTGCACTCAACATGCAGAAAATGCTCTTAAAGGGCTTATCTGGCTGGGATGGTTTCACTTACACGCTCATTTCTTAAAATCAGGAAATTGATATTGCTTGGATTTTCAATTTGATCTATTTGTTTTCAGAGAAATCAGGAAATAACTAACTATCCTCTGAAAAATCCCCTTTCTAGTCAGCAATATCGACACGCCATCACCCTCTTCCCATGTATTGGCGGGAGTTCCGGGGAGGAACTCGACAATATTTGTCCATTCAAAATCATTGTAATCGCTAACAATTTCCAAAGACGGCAATCACTCGGCACCAAAATGTATGTGGATATGGCTGCTTATGGCCACTTCAACCTCTGAAAATATCAAAAGTATGATCCTCGCCATGGCTCATGCGGAAGTAAGCAGTTCACAATTGTCTCATGCCAAATGTCCTTTCTTTTGACAAATCCCAACGATATGAACACAATGTGTTCCGAGATGCTTTTCGTAAGCCGAATGGACCATTTGCACGCAGCATTTCCGCATTTGGGCTACAGAGGCATGCTAACTCCTGGCCGCTTGTCTAAGGCCGAGCAATAGTTTCAAACTCTTTAAAATATACTCGTAATCTGCTGAAATGATGTCAAGTGAGCATGAATGACACATTATTTTATTATTCACTCCTGTTATCCGAAGTGTCGGCAAAGCAATCGAAGCATCATATCCCGTTCATCATACATTATGTATGATTTAGTGCAGGGGCCCCCAACCTTTTTTGCCCCACGGACCGGTTTATGTCAGACAATATTTTCAGGGACCGGCATTTAAGGTGTGGCGGAAATAATACAACAAAATAATATGGTATGAGCTGCATGAAAACTGTGGCGTTTTCGAAATCTAATAATAAACACAAGGAGCGTCTAATCTGGCCGCAACACTCTGATCGCTACGGTAATGTTTAATGCCTTCAAAATACGATACAACGCAAATTCAAAGTGCATGAAAATGACGACTCACCACAGCACCGAGCTTGATTTTCTGCAACCAGACGGTCCCATCTCGGGGTAATAGGAGACAATGACACCTCAAGTGTGTCCAGTCTACTTCGTAATTTTCGTAATTTTGTTTTAGTCGCCGTTGCTGCAGAAAAGCCCCGCCTCACACAGATAGCATGTCGGAAATAGCAACAGTGCTACTATGGCGATCTCAGAATATTCAGCCATAACTTTAATCCAGTTGTCTCTAACGTCCTTTTAAGGCCGCCGTCATTTGCGATCTCCAGCGGTTTTTTTTTTTACTCATTTTGCGAGCTCCCGCGTTTTGTTTTGAAGTAATCGGTCACGTGAAGGAGAAGCGTGGCTTGACGTGTGTCAAGCGTAACACAGACGGATGTAACGGAGAATCCGGTAGTTTTTCAAAATAAAACATATTTCGTATTCCAAAATATATAAAACGGAATTAAGGCAAGTTCTTTCTGTGTGGCCCGGTACCAAATGCCCGGCGGACCGTTACCGGTCCGCGGACCGGCGGTTGGGGACCCCTGATTTAGTGTATCTCGAGTGTGTGTCGCAGTGCATGCAGGTTGCTGTGAATGTAAGACTTGCATGGCTTATTTTGACACGCTCAACCCAACTTTCTTTATAGGGCACAAAAAACAACCACAAAATAGATTTATTATCATTTTACTGTCACAGTCTATCGTGAGGTGCGAAAAATGAGTTTTTGAAAACATAAAAGACAAGCAATAATAAAATAGTAATAATCTCAAGCATACTAGTAACTGGAGAATGAGGATAAATCTTCCCACAAAGCCGCTGACATCGCCACTCTATAGGAGGTTGCCTCGAACGGACAACGGGGAAGAGAGTGCAGCTTTGTGATTCGCCGGGGACGGACTGACACACTGTCTTCATCAATTCGATGTTGCAATCGGTAAATTGTCCGACTGTATAAACCTTTTATCTTCTTTGTCGTATCAAGCTCACTGGTAAAGGTTTTCAAATAAAAAGCTAGACATAATGGTCGGCACACCACAGAGTTGACCGCAGAAGGCATTTCTTCGTCTTTTCAAAGTCACCACTTTGGAGGAGGACATTTTGATGTTGAAAATCCCCAGCTCTGAGCTCTTGAATATACCTATTGCAAAAAAACTACGTGAACACAATTTTAATGAATGAGGTTATTTTTCCTCCAGATGGCATCCCAGTAGCTTGGAATAAACGGAAGCCATATTTTCCACTGGAAATACGTCATACGGTGCCGTACATGGAGTCCTTTGTTCTTAAGTCAATAGATATTCAATTTTTATTTCTATAAGTGTTCGCTTGACTCGTCATTTTTCCAGGTCCACTTCCAGGGTGTAGACCCTCCGCTGCCTATCTGCAAATGGTGCACTTGGCTGAAGTCATCGCTGGAAGTCCGTTGCTCTGAGTTTTTCAAAGTTTGTCCATCCATCCATTTTCTGAGGCGCATATCCTCACTATGGTTGTGCGTGGGTGTGCTGGATTTTTCACATTCCAACTTTGAAATGTCACCAAGTCAACCTCACAGGGGCTCGTGCAGCTAATTGGCTAACACCATTGCTGCTCTCAGGGAAGCCAGTAACGTTCGGCCACTGAGACAGCCAAGGTTATTGTATAAAATGATCTTCTTAACGGTCTAAGATAATTTCACTCCCACTCTATAGCGCTCAACTTTTTGTCCAAGTTCTTCCTAAATTGTGACTGGAAGACACTGATCTAAAAACAAATTGCAACATTTTGGCAAAAGCCTTCCTACGTTCAACTGTTCATGATTTACCAATTTCTTTGTTCAAGTGATTGCGGCTACAACTTTAAATTGGAAGTGGCAAGCAACATCCAGAGAATGTTTTGTCTTAAGTTAGTCTCCACGGCAACCAAAACACTGAATGTTGTTTGTTTTTTTTTCCTCCAAAAGGATAAATAGTTTGAGTTGAAGATGTTACATAACTTCCGCTTTGGCTTGTGCAGGAGTAAGTCGACTTAGAGACTTTGTGTGATGTGCTCCCACTGCGAAATGAATGATGTCACATATTGGGATTACATGGAGGAGGCTTCCATTTATGTGTGTGAGTGTGCGAGGCTACTTATCACTACGTCCAGACAAAAGGCTTAGAAGACCCTGAAAGAGATACTTTCCTTTTATCAGAACAGCCCTATCTAGCCACTCGGCATCTGTTCCCTTGATGCACTTTTTTTTAGGTCACGCTCCGTTCAAACATGGCAGCTTACTGTGTCTGGACTTGTATCGCAGCTCAGGGTCCTGAGTCCACAGGGTGAGTAAATTCCGTTTTCACTGGGGAGAAAAATGATTGATGGTCGTCGGGGGACGTTTTGTTTCGACTCCAGGGGAGTGCCGCCGCTCCAATGAGATGGAATGCACGGGGACCAGAGAGCGAGCGGAATCCCATCCAGCCTCTTTTAGGCCCGGGCTGTAAATTCCCACGCTCTCCACCACCAACTGGTTATTTATTGTCGGCAGGGCTATTTACTTATACAGATCTTCAGGCCCTCTCTCGCTTGATCTATGAGCACATGAGTGCTTGTTGTTAGCATTCATGTGTGCTGGTTTCAACATGCGGTACACTTGCACAGTCAAGGTCAAGGTCAAGGTCAAGGTGAACTTTATCATCCCTGAGGGGCAATTCCTTTTGCAGCCAAATGTCAACATCAGAAAAAATCAACAATCCACACACACACACACACACACACACACACACACACACACACACACACACACACACACACACACACACACACACACAATATGCAGAGTGTTATGCCATATCATTCAAAAGGGCAATGGAAAATGGTCTGAATGAGTTTTTCCATCTGTTTGTCCTGCACTTGGGCATCATGTCTCTGTGCTCTGACAGCAGCAGTTTATATTCAGAAGACAGAGGGTGACTTTGAAAGCAGGACTGAACTGCACATTCGAACAACGTTCTGAGTTTCTGAACAAAACTTTGTTTAA